TTTGTACGAATTAGCCAAACTGTGCATGGTTGCAAGGCTGTCAACGAAACATAGCCTTATGAAATTCTGTCACTGATAATAAGCGAAGTATTATCTGCCCCGTAGAGTTTATACGCGTCCGTCAAATGGGTCTTATTTCCCATAAACGGCGCGTGACGGTTGACGCGCGCTGCAACGCTGGAACTGCTGATGTGCTCATTCAATAAGGCTATGAATTAATTGTCCTTTAATTTGGTAGGTGCTCTCAGTAAACGACTTTAGCCTTTAGGCCAGAACGCAGCTGAGATGTTCGACTAGAAGCTAGCGGCAGGATGACTATGTCTCTTTGGACTTCTTTGCCCTATTCAGTTCTTGTAAGTTTGCTATAAACGAATGGAAACACAATAAACATAAACGAGTTGGAAAAACACGATTTGATAAATGCTTCTCACCCCCCAGGGAACTTATTTTGCCCCTTTTTGCTTTTGCCTTAGTAACGTTTAGGCGGCGGTTGTTTGGATACGGAACTTTTAGGCAAAAGGAAGTGCCGCAGCGATTGGCAGTTCCTAGAAAAGCTAGCTGACGTAGATTATCATTAGAATGGCTTCGCACAGTCAGTCATCTTTGCCGCTCACGACATTCGTGTCGCGGGGAGATATTTTGAGCTTTAAGTAACACGAACTCTACTAGTTCACGATATCGTCTCAGCTTGTCGAATAGACAGAACATTCTTCCGTTTTAAATTTCATGAGTTTTTTTTCTTAGAAATGTTGATGTTTTTTGATTAGGCCGACATCGACGAAATGTATTTTGAGCAAAAGCAATTTGCTACGAAAGAAAGTTCTCATGTAAAACTTACTATCGAACTATTTAAATCAGATGCAATGTTGACATAGCTGAAAAATCTAACTCATAAAGATGCCATTTTGTTCCCTGGGCCACTTCTTTGTTAGATATGGGTTATGAGGTTTGAGATTGTTGTCAGGATGGCATACAGGGGGGTGTTTTTCCCTGTTGATGATAGCTCTCAGTAGCAAAGCAGTTAACGGCTCGTAAGTTTGCGTGTACTTTTTCTATGAACTTTATGTACTTTCTGAAGAGCTCTATGAATCAAAGGTAAATTGTAGCTTAGACAGACGGATTTGACGGGTCATATCGTATACTCGATTCTCTGCCACATTCACCGTTCGTGTCAAGCACATGGCCTGCTTACTTTTTCTGCGACGCCTTTATACGTTCGAACGTAAAAAGTGCGGAGAAAGCGTGTGTTCATGTTAAATGCGTCAGAAACATTTACTAATTGCATGATTCGCCAAGCAACAGAAAACACGAAAACAGCACGAGCGATTCCTCTTCCTATTATATGTGAAGCGTAAGCTTAAGTGGTTCGAATGGACCCCGGCACAGTTCGCTTACCAACGTCAGCTTGTACTTTATGCTGTAACAAAGAAGAAAATACATTGAGATAACAATAATTATGCTATATATTAGTGGCACCGAATTATCTAAATAAGCTGAAATTTATATTTCCTCATGTTAAACTTACTTGAACACGTAACGTAATATTTATCTGGCCCATATAGCGACCCATTATTACTTATCGAAAGGAAATACGTTAAATATTCTATATATGCCGCAATTATTGTTTCGATTTCAGTATCATTCATCACATTTACTTGAATGGATTACGTGAACTATCCTGGTCCCAAATCAACAATTTTAGGCCTTCTGAGAAGTCATACCTGAGCTTCACACTGGTAGCCGGTGATGCGGGCTAGGGATAGGGTGATATTTATACGCGTAATCCATCTATCTTCTCCATTACTTACTTGTGTATAGCTATGAGCAAAAGTGGATAAATCTAACGAATACTTGCTGGATTTCTAACGACAATATGCAGATCGATCGTTGTTAAATACCACTTTGATTTGGCACTGACTTAAAACTAACGAAAATATCAGAGTCGACGAGAGCTGGTCAATCCGATTTTCGGTGCGTTTCGGTTGAGATTAACTTAAGGGTAAAGGCATCAATACTGCCTGAACAACCCACTTTTCAAATAGATGAACAGTTGATGAACATCGTTCCGTTAGATACGAGAAATGGCAGGTGGCTGCTTCTCGCCCATGCGCTACAGACCATCAATAGATTTTAAATCACCTTAGCATAAGACAAAACGATGTCATCAAAACGTCTCCGCTCTAACCGGACGGCGAAGGGGGAGGTTACACAGGCATATATTACATATACAAAAAGCAATAACATAACTTTAACCTGAGAGGGCTTACTTAAATTAGGAAGTCATGACTTTCTATCTTTTTAGACCGAAAGAAACCTCTTATACTACGGTAAGTTCGTACGTTTGAAAGCTGACTTTGGTGACTGTCGAGCAAGTGAATTTCGTATAATTAGTATATGAAAGTTATTAACGAGCAGAAGTAAGTCGCACTCTTATATAGGATATAGATACATTTTTTAAATATAGTAAATGAATTAACATTTACGTTTACTGTTTAGCATTTCCTCGGATGGCTGAGTCCCAACAGACGACGTAGTGCGTCTGCACCTGATGTTTAACGTTTAGCCCGAAGTTTAGTATGCAGGCACGTTACCGCTGCACGATCATAAGCATGTATTTTAGATGTAATAAGCCACAAGTCTGCAGTGCGCTGGACAATGCGGACTAACTTTTGCATATTGTATGGATATGAAGTGCATAGAATAACATAGACCGTAACAACCAAATATCACCGCGAAGAACCGCACGCAGGACCCCAGTGGAAGCGCAATGATTGAATATGTAAGAATGAGACATCCGCTACATGAACCCATTATAAAACCATCCTGAACGATAAATCAAGTTGCTGATAGATGTTACTGAACACATGGTAGATACGATTCGTAGTATTATTTGTATACCAAAAATGACAACGGCTTAATAGGGCCATTTGTAGAACTACCGACCCATAACAATGGTGCCTTACACGTAAGCAGGTACTACTCTGCCTGCCGATCCTGTCCTATTTGTAAAATGTCCTGCATACTTAGGCTTTCATGGCCTCAGTAGACTTTTGAACACTAACTAAAAAACGCAAGATATATTGAGCTTGTTTTTACGCGAGGCTAAAAGCTAAAAAAAAAGCTTCCACAGGTACGGCAATTATAGAGAAACGCAGGTCAAGTTCAAAGCATTCCGTTGAATCCGTTCGATCATTATAGCCTTTGCCTTGTAACTTTAGCATGACCGATTAACGGTTAGCCCATTTGCTCAGATCTATTGCTCTCCGTGTGTACCGTACACAACAAAATAGTACTAAATACAAAGATAATTTGTGGTTAGGTAACAAGTAGCGCTAGGAATTCAGACAAAACAAATCTTAGTCGTTACCTCACAATATCACAATAAAAAAAATCCAATTCCATTTCTTGCACTGTCCGTGGCGTAATCTTATTAAAAACATATATAACAAGATAATCGTGTCTGAGGAAGTATTTATCTTTTGGTTTACGTACTTTGCTTAGGTGTTTTACTGCCAAGCATATATATGCGAATTTTCAAAATTATCCATACTTAACGGGATGAAAAATGATTTAGCATTATTGTCAATCCATTGTGAGCTCATATCTCGTTTACGGATACGCACCCTACATCTAAGAAACTCTGCAATTCACTTAACTTCATTTAAGTACATGGTAAGCCATGCATTTTATCTTTGTGTTAAGTGTGTCTCTCGGGATTGTTTCACTAAATAAGTTGACGTCTGTCGCATGAAGGAATCTAAAACTGCCACCATTCATCCTTTCCCCGAAGTTGCTCTAACTTTTCGTTTACGACACTCGCGTGCTTACGATCTATTCGCGTCAGCGGATGCCTCTGCCATCTCTTAGATACGACATTAATCATATGAAAGTCTATCTGGCACACTGGGTTTGTCATTTACCAGACGTCACGTATATCTGTAAAAGAAGTTCTGAAGCGAACTTCAACAGCATACGGCGTCATCCGTAGTGGTGTTTTCGCTGAACAGTTGCTTTGGGCAGGAACATCAACCGTGGATTTTCCAAATACCAACTTTGTAAATTCGACTGTACTTTTGCAGATATATATTAAATATGACATTTGATTAGATGACATAAGAAACCGCTATTCTTTCGTCGAAGTACTTTTTTTTGTGATGCCTAGGGTTTTGAGGCCAACACAGCAACTACAGCAGATAAATTGCATAGATACTAGTAATATCATATGGCAGCCTTTATTGGTATTGCTCTGTGTTTGTCTACTAAATGCAGGCACATGCGGTTTCATTCATTGTCCAAATCCGGGCGTGGACACTTTGTTTCATGGAGCCAGACGTCTGAATCAGCGTATTACGGCTCACGTAGCGGACGTAGAACACAGACAGCGACACTCCTGTTCCTTCTTCTGCTTCGCGGCCTTCTCCCTGCGATCGAACTATAGACTCTAATAGCCGTTGTCTCTATCGAGAGCACCCAGAGGGCGCTGTCATCCAACAATGTTTTGGTTTGCGCGCCGCCGACCGCGCACCCTTTTGCGAGTGCACCCGCCGCCATGTGTCTTCATCTTGATCGAGAATCTCAGAGGTGTGAATTCAGCTGCATTCTCCTGTATTATTGTTCCTGTTGTTATTGTCGTCGTCGTCGTCGTCGTCGTCGTCGTCGCTATTGTCCTACAGTCTCCCGCCAGCGAATTGAAAGCATACCCTGTAGACAAAGCTGCTGTTGTTGGCATTATTCAGCGCCGGAACAGACGACACGATTCGCCGGGAGTAGCGTTGCAACTGGACGGCAGAGAATTTAGCAGTAGCTACAGCTGAAAGGGCCGAAACAGAATGAGAGAGTGTCCGACACACCCGCACACGTCGCCAGCGCCAGCCAGACACAAATATCAACAGCAACGTGAACGAGACAAAAAATTATAATAACAACAATAATAATCATAATAACGACAAAAAGAACGACAAAGGCGGCAACAGCAAGAGCAGCAACGCTGGTTGTAAGATATTTATAGGTTGTTACAGCAATGAGACATCGTTAACACTGTCGTTGCGGCAGGCGCGCCGGTGTCATAACGGCGCAATAATGATGCGGACGTAATTACGGGATAGCGATTAGCCGTCTTCAGCTACTGTTGCCCTATTCAAACATTATCAGCTGTTAGCTTCATAGAGGTTCCAGGTGTAGCGATCATTTGTTAGACGTCGTTTCCAGCGCGTAATTTTGTGAGTTCTGTGGTTGATGATTTGATTGTTAAACTGATAACGACCAGGCTTTGAGAAAGCCTCTGTTAGGTAATTCGATCCAACTATTAGTGAGTACGTCACCTTTGATCCGTCCATCGATAATAGCGCGGTTCTGTGCGAGTCGTTCGTTCAGTGCCAGATCTAATGCTATAGTACCTGGTATTGTTGTTATTGTGCTCGACGACACAATTATCGCGTTGACGCGACTGCCACCAAAATCCAGCAATCGTTTTCTGCCGCGGTGGTGAGTATGAGTCAAGGAACGACGGTGCTGTCTGTCACACAAATAGAAACTTACTAGATAATGTACAGGTCTCTGTGTCCATCGTTTGGAAGCTTTGTGCTAACTATAATATAGATAGATACAGAACATATATATATATATATATATGCATAGGGCTTAGCGACATTATCGAGGTTCGTATGCGAGGTGTCCTTAGAACCAGGTCCAAATTCGTACCAAGGGGTTTAATCTGGACACGAACACTCGTTCGAATAGACCTGCTTTTGGCCTTTCAGGCTAGAATTATCTCTGTGGTACACTGAATGACTAATTTACAGTTGGTAAGTGGCAAACGTCTACTATTTTCTGTAAACATTGTTTGTATCACGAGTCGTAAGCTAATGACAAATACTCAAGGTCAGCTGTGCAGTAACGTGATTTCGGTGACGATAGCCTAGGTCTCACTGAGATCACTTGGCAGATTTAGCAAGAGTTGCATGTTTTGTGCTATTATTTGACAAAGTCATTTGCTTTGCGTAAGCAGCTTGTACCAATGGATCTCTATTCCAAAGTATCCCGTTTTTTCCAAGCATTTTAATAAAATGTTTAGTTCAGTGGTGCCGTGTCATCGAAATGACTGTTCCCAACAATGTCCCCTACAAATCGATGCTTTCGTTAGCGCAAACTACTTTGGACCGAAATTTTGTCAGCGTCTACCTGTGATAGACATTCGAAGTACTTTTACGAAAAAGTCAGTAGCTTTAAATTTTTATTTAAAATCAAAGTACCTTTTGATTAGTGCTCCTGAAAATTAGCGTCCCAGAAAATCCTAGAAACAATGAGTTACCTACTCTTCACCAGCTTAGTCATAATAGTTCGGCAAATTCAAAAGCCGGACAGCGGGGATCTACGTAGGATTTTTCTTTGCGGAAAATAATGTCATCGAAGGTGGTTGAAAAAGCGTGCTGAATATGCTATAGTTAATCAGTACCCCGGTAAGACATCTTACCACTACGTAGTATTGCAGCAGGACAGCTTTACGGAGTTAAGGCCAAAGCAGCATTAGCTAACTGAAGTAGCTAGATTGAATGGCAGATTAGCGCCAGTCATCGAACTAAGACACGAGGTCCGATTATCTTACAGTCTCATATGAGGCGAATCTTTAATAGAAAAATTCTTAATTGACGAATAATTATGAGGGGGCGCGAAACTAAATACATGGGCATTCGAATAGTCGCAGGTTACCTTGTTCTGACTTTTACCTAATATGACTTGCACGGCGCAGTGGATTGAATTGTTTAGCCAGTTGATGTTGACGCCATTGCTGCTGCCGTTACTTGTGGTAGGCTCCTGGTTACTGTCTGTCTCTGCTTTGCGCTATCACTAGTTCATCGCCCGACAAGAGTCAGCACGTCGAAAACGTAACGTTTTTCGCTTTAGAGATAAATCGTCCGCGAATTTATCCGCGTCCTCTTCAATTCAAAATCTTGACGTTTCAGGGAACGAACGACCGTAACACTGAATCTGACACTATTTGATTACTCGATCTAATAGAAGATTTGCGTTTGATCACTTTGTTTTTTCGGACGATTCCACGGATAGGAATACCACAAGTCCGATGTTGCGGAAAACGATCGGTGTTGTGTAATTGCAGCCCCATTCGTATCTGTCACAATGGGTATCTAAAATACAAGCCACTACGTACTCCGTGGTAGAACAATGCTATATATGAAGTAATGTTTCAGTATGTGTTTTAATATCCTAACAGAAATCCATATATCAGGCGCAGTCGTTTCAGCAAAATATCACATGTCCCGATCCATTTGCAATTTAAGGCATTGCAACACGTCGTATCGCTTTTAGCTGATGTTTCCTGATCTAGTATTTATCCCCGTAGATGACCAAGAGTGTAGCTTTGGACCTTTAACTGGCAGGGTCTTTTTAATACGCAGTGTTTTTTTTTTTTAGATCGTTGAACTTTATGTTAATTATTTATATTAGTTACTTTGAAAGGTTTTCTACTCAATTTTAATATTTTTGAAAACTGTAAAGGGACGTTCAGGACGAACTACATTTTGGCTAATGTGATGGCCTGTTATATCAAAAGTATCAATTTATATTCTTTTCTATGACATTTCCTGTGATCACTTCGAATATTCAGCTATCTTAACATCTTTTTGTTTCAACCTCAGTTCTGGTTGTCGTCAATCATTCTATATTTTCTCAGATGCATTTCTAAATCAAAAAGTAAGTAAAGGAAGTTCAAACATCAAGTAGGCCGTGAGATGGATAAATTAAACAATTTCCACCAATTTGTTAAACCGTACAGACGATGTGGGAACATCCGTGACATCGAACATTACCGAAAGCATTTAACTGATATTAAGATGCCTCTGTCTATGCCATCTTCGATGAGTACCAGCAGCCTTTCGTTGATCATCTAGCTGATGTTTCGCTTATATTCTTAGAGAGGGAAAAAGCGATATCTATCTAAATAATGTGCGCCCACACGCTTAGCTCCGTTGAAAGACCAACATTGACCAAAATAAATTGGTCTTCTACGTGCGAGCGGATACAAGATATGATGAGAGGATTGACGATGGCCTGGGTTACATTGCAGTGCTTTTCTACGTAGAGTTTACCTAGCATTTGGTTCCAGAGCTTTCTCTAGTTCTCATTTCACCGTTCGATTGGGCGTTACAATAGCTAACATTCGCACCACATTACATTAATTGCAGCCACACTGACGAACCCGAAGGACAGCAGAAAACCATTGCGCTAACTAGCATCGGCAGCAAAATCATCGAAAAGACGTGTAGGCTTATAGGCAGTAGTTGTGCCTTGGATAAGCATCGAACATATTTTACGCGGAGTTTCACCAAAACTTAAAAATGTGTGTGCTAATATTTTATATGAACCCGGGCGAGAGATCGCCGTCAGGTTACAAGCTGATCTTGTTGAGTATCCGAGATGAGCTATTTACGCGACCCACAGCGCATGCTCAGTTCTGGCAGAAGAACCAGGATGTCATTGGAGGTCAGTTCGGTAATTGTCATTTAAACTAATCCTGTTTATAGGTAAACGTCAGTCGTTGGAGACACTGAGATAAGCGAAACGACGATGACATCAAGCAACGCAATAGCGCAAACATTCAAAAATATGAATAAAATGTCTTACATTAGTCCATCTATTGACAAGCTGATACATCTATTCACTGCGGTGTGTCACTTAGTATTCACTCGCTAACTGCGTCGCTGTACTTTTGTGAAATAAATTATTATTTTTATTGGCCAAAGCAGTAAACATTTCTACGGATATGTCTAAGGTTCAGACTTAACTTATTTAGTTGTTTTCTGGAGCACCGAACTGTTTCGTTTAACAACAACTATAGACATTTTCGTCTGCTAATGTTATCTATCGCAAAGCCTACTGATTCTAAATCTGGACGTTTAGTAAGTTACTTTGTTGCCGTGAAATGTTCACTACGATACAACAGGTATGGATCTTGAGCCTGGCCGAGAAGGCGGTACGTGGTTGGCCTTTCACCGAAACGGCCGTTTTGCTTCTCTACTCAATGTTCTTCAGAAGACCAATGACGTTCAGGCCAATAAACGGGGACGGGGTTTCTTGGTTGTGGATTTCCTTAAAGGAACTGTTAAACCCAGTAGATATGTTCAGGTGAGGAACGTTCCAACATTTGAATTGGCTCACTATTTACGATAGCCCGTACCTTTTGCTCTGAAATAATACTATTTGAAAGTATTTGGTTCGATGTAAGTAGGTTTGTATTTGAGTTCATTTACGAATGGCTCTAACAGGTAGTGCAGTACATAGCTGCGTGGTCGCTTATTACTTCACCGGAGCCCGTTCTATGCTACACATTGCCTAAAATGATTTTTTTCTACTTTCAAATCGGATTGGCTGTCAAATGCAAACGGGTTCTACCTTAAGCAGGACCCTGTGTTTTATAGACTGAGCAAGCCAAGAGCACTCTATTTTCATTGGCTCTCTTATATTTAACTCGAATAAAGAGAAATTTACGCCGAAAACGGTTTCCAACTACAATTTGTATTTGAACCGATTACGAAGATAGCGGAAAAACATTGCTTAAAACAGCAAAACGGGTTTTTTGATATTTTCGAATATCTATATTTCTGGACACATATCCTGGGAAATATGCAGCAAAAAAATTGAATAGCTCGTGTACAAGAGGGTGCAAGTTTGTTTTTCTTCTTTAACCTCTTATGCTCATATAGTCACTTCTTTTTTTGTATTCCATTTTTCCCTTCTTGAAGTAAAGCCAGAACTGAATAATAGGACACTGGCTGACCGATTTTCGTGTGCGTGACACAAGTCGTTAACTTTTCAGGCTCTATTATACCTTTTTTAAAAAAGGCTAAATGTATAATGTCAGCAAGAAAAGTATGAGAAATCTCGTCTTATTTCTTTTGCGGTAGTAGAATAAGTCCATCTAATTTATTTCAATAGTAATCAGATAAGCTTATTAACAGTCGCTGTACGAGAGCCGGGAGGAGTTCAACGGTTTTACAATTGTCTGCGTTGATCTGAAGGAAGGCCGGGGCGCATTCATGTGCAACAAGTCCCAACTGGGCGTACAGTTAATTGAAAAAGGTCAGTGGCAATGAATAGAATGTAATTTGGGATAAATTATTGCTCCGTACGTACCAGTGGCGATATCTACTTTCTAATTCTAATTCGTGTTCAGTGAATATCCGATATCTTATTGAGCAGGCTATTACGCATTTGGCAATAGCATACTACCCCGAAACTGGCCAAAAGTGGATGCGGGAAAGAGACTTTTTCAAGAAGCAGTTGAAAAGAACATCAAATCTGAACGAGAGCTTGAGGAGTCGCTGTTCGAAATCATGAACGATAGTACCTGCTACGGCAACGATGAGTTCATGCGACGTCAAACAGGTAGGCATTTGCTATCTTAATTCTACGAGACTGGATATTTCAGCAAAGCGATCCTCTAGACTATGTGAGCCGGACCAGTCGTCAGATACTGAACAATCATGAGATATCGTCCTTGCAAAATCAAGCGGACCGGCGGTTATTATCATAATTTTCTTATGACTGTCTCCGTTATGGTTGACTGGGAACTAGTACTTATTCCTCGTACAATTCAGCCGACATACTTACAACTCTGTTCGAAAGCTTACCACATTCGAAAGGACTCTGATCCGTCTAAGCTATTGTATAGACATAATTCGGAGCTGAAAATAATGCTCAGATGTTTTCAAGTGGTTGAAATAGTATCTACCAAGGACCAATGACAGAATTCGCATGCCCCACGTATGAATTTTGCGCGTTCTACAGCAGTTAAAAAACGCTGGCTGAACTCAGTACCACTGTATCAAATACTTAAAAGCGAGGCTTGATATACGCAGACAGGATTCAGATAGAGCCTCATAAAGATACATTTTAAAAAAAATGTTCGTTGCTATACATCGAGTGAAAAATATACATTCCCTGCAATGTTACACAAAAAAAAATTAAAACAAATAGATTAAACCATATTAGCAGTTATTTATCTGCAACCATTTTTGAATTGCTTATGGTGCAACACTTCTTCCGCAAATTTCAACTTACAGATGAGCCCGAAGAAATTCTCAACCTTCGAAGTTGCTTGAAGTTCTACATTCCTAAATACGACTACGGCTCGCGGACCCATACCGTGGTTTTAATTCGAGGTGACAACAGTGTTTTGTACGTCGAGAAAACTGTCGAGGACGGCAAGTGGGTTGAAAGGAAGACTGAGTTCAAGGTCGATGTCTGATTACACACAGTGAAGTTATAGGACAAATCGCCCATCTTGTCAAACGTTTTGGCCTGCGCCCCTCATCATAACTAGTTTATTGTCGTCGGTTATCGCTTGCCCCGTAAATCTTTAGCATAGCTTTTAACTGTTTTACAATATAGGCTATAATAATAATGATAATAGACAATGCAGGCAGTCCTGCATTTGACATTGATTGTTACAGATAGTTTAGCACATTGGTTAGCTACATAGTTATGACGTATCGCTAGGCTAGAGTTAACAAATATACCGTTTGCGTACCTTAAATAACCATTTCAAATGTAAGCCTATTTTTCTCTTACCCAGTGAGCGATAAGACATCTGGGTCTCGATATCAAAAATGCGAAAGTGTTAACGAAACGTCATTGACCATATGAACGTAAGAGTCGCAATCGGTATATAGCACAAACAGTAATCGTGAAATTATTGTAAGTAACTTGTCCAATATGCTTAGCTAAACATGGTTGTATATGAGCTTTTTACTAATATACAAAATGCAGAGTGTGAATTTTAGGCCACATCTGTTGACGACAGAAGTCATGGAACTTTATGGGATAGTGCCGTGAGGATTAACGTATGTTTGGTAGATGAAGGCTACGTTTGATGCATTAATGAACTGTACAAATTCCGCAATGGAGCTCGCGTCCGAAGAAATCGGTGCGATCCTTCAATAGACAAAGGGATCTCTACTAAGGTTTAGTTTAACTAAGTGTTTAACATTAGAATCGGAGAAGCTGTCGAAGTACACAAATCTGATAACACGTCCCTGAAAGTTACACACATACATAATAAAAAGAAAATACAAAATACGGAGTAACAAAAAACAACCAAACTTGTTCTTACGTTATTATTTAGCGCAAATAGTCTTTCAGTTAGTACTGTCAAAAAGCAGTCGTGTCTTACTCAAATGGCAAAATATATTCTACATGTAGACATGTTTGTAATGACACATCGTTTTAACATAATCTTTATTATATGCGAATTGAAGAACATATGACTATATTATATAACTGTTGAAACGATAAAGCGAGATACGTTTGTAACGTATGTAAGTTTCGGTAATAAAGCACAAAAGAAATGGATATTAGGACTGAAGTGAAACAATCCGCTTCATCCATTTGTAAACATAGCACGAAATCATTTGAAAGAGTCCTTACAATGGTCTATCCCAAATTCATATAGAGAGATTCCATCATTTTTTTTCATTGGCTTTATTGAATTTGTATAAGTGTTTAGAAAATACTTATATCCCTATATTGCTAAAAGATGTTCGCAAATAGCACGCTAATTTACAAGAGGCAGCCTTTACATTTAAGTTTAGATTGGTGGATATGAAGTTACGACGTATCTATCTAACAGCTTTACGATCGGATATAGGTGATAGCGTGCAATCAATGCGATCGCCTTTAAGACAGTATGCACCCGTTACAAAGATCAGTAGAACGTTCTCTTTATTATAATTCAGCGCTTTACATGGGGCAGTTTTCGACAAAAGAAAAGACGCGCCTGTATTATTAATCTTACCTCGATGAAAATTTTGTAGCTTTGCCATGAATCTGATCTTAAAATGAAAAGGCATTTGATGTGTCCAGTAGTAATTTTCTATTGGCAACTCACTCTATTATAAAGTGCAACAACTAACATTTTCAATAGGCAAGGATAAACCCGACTGGTTGTTCCATCTCTTCTATAGGAAGCCTCTCTTCTATAGGGGAATGTTTTAGATAAACAAAATTGTTCGAGATAGCATCGCGGATCTTTTTGGACACTTCACGAGGCGTCTCCATGAGACGTGCATAACTTTCTTAAATTTCAAAGGCTTGCATAATTCTTTTTAATCGTCCCGTAAGTATGTATGTATAATACGGTAAGCACGTGCAACGTCTTTGAGCACGAGAATAAAGATAAGTACTTTTTTCAAGACTAGAAGATAATCACGAACATTAATAGCTTAAACAGACATTTCTTTGCATAAGAATAACTAGAACGGACGAATCGTGACAGTAAAAGTCTCTGGGGAAGACTGCCTGCGACGCTTACACATGAAGCACCACGACGCAACTGTTATGTAAACAAGTGGACGACAGTTTGCGCAGTAGGGGGCGCATCGCGCGGGAGAATTTCAAAAACTAGACATTTGGTAATAGCTAGAAAAACATTGCGCCTTTCGATTATGATTAGGGAATAGTATCAATACATTATATTAACGACATGATTATGAGCATGGGTCAGTTAAGCACAAGAACTGATTAGCTAGCTATAAGATGATAAGTTGCAACATAATTGGTTAAGTCAATTGTACCGCTATGAGCGACCATGCTATAGCCCCCTGAAAGATTTCAGCCTTATGCAAAGAAAACAAATATGCATTTTTAAAAAATGCAAAAAAATTAGCATTTTGGGTTAACACGTTTCATAAAAGAATTGCGCTATATTAAGCGATAGAATGATAAACGGATAGGTTTCTGGGGCATCTGTTTCCATCTTCGCTGCATAGTAATTGAAAAATAAGAATTTTTTTTATTCTGTGTTTCAGGCAAAGAGCTGATATAGTTTGTCCACAATTCAGAATTTAGAATAACGAAGAATGTTTTGTAGAATTGATATTTCTGTGAGCTACAATCTTAGTGCAAGAAGCGTTTGTCAAGATGTTAGTAAATCGGAACACTGGCATGCAAATAAAGTTCAAAATAATCATTTTCATTATAGTGATGACCCAGTGATGTATTTGCCCAAAGACACGAAGTAGCTAAAGTACAGCATGAATATGGGTAAAAATTTTGGCATGTACACTTTAAGAGTCGACTACATTATCGCATTGAATGAGCTGTTGTACTGATGGTGATTTGAACAATCTCTAAGGTGCAGTGCCGCTGAAGATTGAAGAATCACCATTGCTTTCCGTTTCGCTTAATATTTTGTTTTCCATTGTATGCACTGTTCCCGGTTTAAATACATAGCTAAAGGCGACGAGAGCCCTGTGTGTAAGGCGTGTTCTGCCTTTCGCTTATTATTTGCCTTTTCCAACGTTAGACACAGTTTATCAACAATGCTATATACACTACTAGGTACTTCTTCTTAACGTCAAACTAATCGAGTGGCAACGCGATAAACACTCAGACCACTTTGTCGATCGTTGGTTGTTGCGTCTTTGACTCATCCGTCCGCTTCTTGCGTACGTAAGTTGGAGAAATCTGCTTGGAGATCGGAAGAGTCAAAGCGAAAGTGGACGACAATGTTAGGGAACAAAGTGAATCGTTGGTCGAGAGAGAAAGGACGAGCTCAGCTGAAGTGAATGTATGAGTTGGCACCAAAGGAAAGCTGCTGTTGAGTTGAGCGATGATGTTGGCATAGCATCGTAGTATTGTTGTCGATTTTCCTGTCGACGACTAAACACACCGAAGCGAAATAAGAGAATCACTTCGCACTGCTGCCCGTTACCTTTTTACTCTACCAGCTGGCGCCGGCGAGCCTGTGGCGTCTCGTTGTACGCACTTGCTCTTGCAAACTGCTAGCTTTCTTTGCTCTAGTTATGCCCTCTTTTATTCTCTTTGTTTTACCGCTTGCCGATGCTGGTTTGGTCCGGGTGTTTTCCTGTTCGCACCCTAACTCTTCCTTTCTCTCCTTTCTATATATCCTCCTTTGGGATTCTCGTAGATCCGTCTTAGTAAAGCACTCCTTTGAGGCTTACGGAAACGGAACGGGGGAAACCGTTCTCCACAACGAGCAGTGCTTCCCTTGCCACTGCTACGGCCGCCGCTAGCATTGGGTTGGTTGCCACTCTCATCTCGTTCACTCGGTTCTCTTCTGCTGCTTAGTTCTGCCGACTGCTTTCTAAGCGCTTTTCGCCTTTACCCTCTATTTTCCCCCCTGGGCTTACAAAGAGATCTGCCTTTTTGCCCCGAACAAATCTAGGCCTTTAGAAAAAAAGCTCGCCATGTCGACAACGATTGCAAGATGCAGGATAGGACGCAGCATAGCAAAAGATTTGCAGAGGCACACATTTAGAAGACTTGACTGCATGTGCGAAGCGACAGGACTTCGTAGTAGCACAGTAAACCTCACCAGGCGAAGCTTGACTGCCACACTATCATTCTTCCGATGGCACGACTGAAAGTCGGAAACAGTGCGACCTTGTCTTTCTTTTCCCCTTTCTTGCGTGGCATGTTTTCCTGAGCGGCGCGAATCTGTGTCAGTAGAGGGCGGCTAGTTCCGTACTCGCCCGCTTGGCCGCTCGCCATAGGGATATCAGGCGCAGAGGTGTCATTGACTCTGAGTCACAGCAAACAACCGAAATGAACCTACTGAATCGCAGCCATTGAGCTGCCGCCGGCCTTGCTACACCCTATCCATATTGGCACGGATGACGGCTGCAAAGACTTACAAACCAATGATTGTAAATGGAAAGAAGGAAACAGTACCAAATCTGTTCGTAGCAACGAGAAAGTGCACGCATAAACAAAAAACATGCACATGCATACACACATTCAGAATGAGCCGGAATAGAAAAAGGAGTTAACAAAAAAGGAGGGAATAGGAAAAGGACGATGACGAAAGCGCGGTCCAATGAGGGCCACAACATGACGGCAAAAGAAGCTGCGCTTTTCATTTTTGAGCACCTGAAAGAACTAAAAGTATTGCTAATGTCTAGGAAAATCTACTAGTGAATTTAAAATAATCGAAGAGCTGCGCAATTGATTATAGCTGACAGGATCCGAAGGAACTTCATATCGTAATTAACTCATAGCTTTTGACGGTAAACAATACCATTATTAATATGAAAGTATGTTTGTGTGCTCTGTAGGCGATCGTAAATTCAGCCATATGTGTATAGAAGTTGCTGTCTGACTTTGACATTATAAACGTCTTTCTTCGAGAAAATTGCGTTATGCACGTTTGTACTCCGCACGTGTCTTGTTCTCGTAGTAATATCTGCCAGCAATGCTATTTATCATATGGCTAAGCAACAACAAACATCCATATTTAGTCCCTTCAAAGATGACCTCCTGTTCCTCTTTAGACAGCTATGCGCGTCGTTTTGGACGCTTACTTGGATGAAGATCAGTTTCTTATTATAGCTCGAAAAGTGAAATGCACCCTGCAGTTCTTCACTTTTCAATAAAATTACAGTAATAGCCGGGGCAAAATAGTACTTCTGCTAACAGATACTTCGTCGTACTAGGGAGTGCAACTAGAAACAATTCAATGAACGACTCGTATACTTTAACATTAGCTATTTTATATAGTGTGAAAAGATTAGCATGTATAGCTGTTAGTCAATAAAATAAGGCTACTTAGAAATTTCACACATTGCCGAGTTTAATCAGAAATACATCCGCACCCAAACAAAGTATTAAACGCGGTTTTTTTAATGAAGCTTCTCTTCCTTTGTTTTCTAATGATGATAAACCTGCGATTCTCGTGTCTTTATAATTATGCATGAACTTGTAATGGGATTATAAAAAGATCTCACAGAATAGCTGCGGATTCTAAAAGCCAGACTTATATAAGAAAAAACACAGCAAAGAGAACTTGATGGGTGAGTAGGAATAAATGCAGCGAGGGGGAGCATCGTTCTAATAACAATATCAACTTGTAACAGTTTCTTAGCTACGGCAGAAAATGATGAAGCTGAAGGTCTCAGTGTCTGTCTGAGCCTTCCGACGTTGTATCGAACTACACGACCAAACTAGCAAAAAGGCTTCGGCTGAACTGTGCACAGAAGTTCGCGCATTTCGAAGGGGCTAAGCAATTCCAAAATTGGACGGTGCAGAACTAAGAAGGAGTCCGTCTTTCAGATGACTCTGAGACTAGTATTGCTCATCACATCTACAAACGCCCCAGCGAAATGCAATCCAACGGGTCTAGCCATAACTAGGACCGTGACTTTCGGCCCAAGTGCAGAGGCCTTACACTTCGTCAGCGGAATTAGGGCGAAAAGTGACAACACAGTGAGCTAGTTCAAAGGGGAAGACCGAAGGCATTACGTACGAGAATGGTGTCCAGATGAGAGCTAGCATTCACGTATGACGACTAACCGCTACGTCACATGACAAGGTGCGTCTCTGAGGTGTTTATCGCTAACGGTGTTGAGGTTCTGGCATAGCCTGGAGATTCATC